GGCCACCGCAGCCTCGACCTGCTGGGCTCTGGCGATCCTTCTGCCTCAGCCTTCCAAATAGCTGGAACTGCAGGCACGCGCTACCACACCTGGCTAATTTTTTGATTTATTGTAGAGATAAGGTCTTGCCAAGTTGCCCAGGCGGGTCTCGAACCTGCGGGCTCAGGCAATCCACTGACCTCAGCCTCCCAAGGTGCGGAATTACAGACTGAGCCACCGAGCCCGGCTCATGAAAATTTATCTATGTGGATTTTTCTCTTTTCAGGTCACTTTTGGTAAATTATTTTGCTAGGACATTATCCATTTCTTTCAGATCTTTAAAATGATTTCCAGCCGGGCTCGGTGGCTCAACCTGTAATCCCAGCGCTTTGGGAGGCTGAGGTGAGTGGATTGCCTGAGCCTGTGGGTTCGAGACCCGCCTGGGCAACCTGGTGAGAACTCCTCTCTACAATAAATCAAAAATGAGCCGGGCGTGGTAGCACACGCCTGTAGTTCCAGCTACTTGGAAGGCTGAGGCAGAAGGATTGCCTGAGCCCAGGAGGTCGAGGCTGTGGTGAGCCATGATCACACCACTGCACTCCAACCTAGGTAATAGAGTGAGACCCTGACTCAAAAAATAATAATGATAATAATATCCTTTTTCTATCCTTAAGTGTCACTTAAGGATGTAACATTGCGTTTAGTCATCATGTCACCTCTGATCTGTGACAGTTCCCCAGTCTTTCCTTGTTTTTCATGACCTTGACAGTCAATTAATGCTTTTTTTTCTGTGTTCCTAACTTGTCTGAAATTAAGATTGTAATTCTTACTTTCTTTATTTGCATTTGAATGGTATACCTTTGCTCTTTCTTGTTGTTGTTGTTGTTTTAAGAGATGCCTTGCTATGTTGCCCAGGCTGGTCTTGAACTCCTGAGTTCAAGCTATCCTCCCGCCTTGTCCTCCCAAAGTTCTGGGTAAGCCACTGCACCAGGGCCCCTTTCTTGTTGCTTTATTTGTATTTTTATTTTTATTTTGCATCTGAGTCTCACTCTGTCACCCAGGCTGGAGTGTGGTGGCACGTTCATTGCTACCACAGCCTCAACCTGCTGGGCTCAGGCGATCCTTCTGCCTCAGCCTTCCAAGTAGCTGAAACTACAGGCACGCACTATCACACCTGGCTAATTTTTTTATTTATTGTCAAGATGAGGTCTCACTATATTACCTAAGCTGGTCTTGAACTCCTAGGCTTAAGTGATCTTTCCACCTCGGCC